CCTTTCGCTCCTCTTCGGCCTTCTTGCCCTCCTCGCGCTTGCGCGCCTCCGCGGCCTTTCGCTCCTCTTCGGCCTTGTTGGCCTCCTCACGTTTTCTCGCTTCCGCGGCCTTGCGTTCCTTCTCTGCTGCCTTCTTCGCTTCTTCACGTTGGCGCTCCTCTGCTTGTTTTGCCTCTGCTGCACGAGCCTTCTTTGCCGCCGCATCATCAGGCGGTGCTACAACATCGGAACCAAATAGATCGTCGAAGTCTCCACCGCTGGGCTGAGCCTTTGCAGGAGTTCTTGCGGGCTTTGCAGATTCCTTCGCCTCGGGTGCCTTGAAAGCTGGCATCTGCGGCGGCTTGACATCTGGAATTTTGATGTCAGGAACCTTGATGTCGGGGGCTTTGAACGATGGAACCTGTGGTGCTTTGATGTCAGGCACCTTGAAAGACGGAAGCTCCGGAGACTTGAACGCCGGCACGGACGGCATCTTAACTTCCGGCGCTTTGAACTCTGGTACTTTCAGGTTGGCGCCCGAGTCGAAGGAGAAGAGATCGTTACGACCCGAAGGTGCCGAGTAGCCGCTCGAAGATCGGAAGGCCGGTGCCTCTGCAAGGGAAAAGTGGGAGGTCTTGCTCATCAAAACACTTGGAATCTTGAGGCTTGCTCTGAGGCTCTTGTCGTCCGCAAACGCATCCCGCCTGGCTTTTCTGACCCGGCTGCGTCACGGATGGGCTTCGGAAGCTGGAGACCAAGGCCGCGAGCACCAACGCCAAGGTGGCCACGTAGGAGAGGCCCTGGCCAGCGGGAGCCACTACCATGAGAAAAAACCCAGAATCCCAATATCCAAAACGCTAGATCCCAGATCCCAGAACATTGAAGCCCCAAAAACCGCCTTGAAAACCCTGCAAGGCCCAACTGGCCTCTGCAAGTCCGAGAAGGCCGAGCCAGCCCGCCGGGAGCCCCTTCCCGTGGGAGAAGACGCTACTCAACGACCAGAGGACGGACCTCAGAAAGGCAAGGCTTCTGGTGTTTTTTAGCCCTTTTTTTGATTTTGTAGGCGGGATAGGACGGTTGGGAGGATGCTTATAGGCCCGTGTTACCGGGCTTGGGGGTTTGAGCAGCAACACCGAGCTTTGCACTCGTATAGCTAAAAACCGAACCTTTTCACGTGTGCAAAGCCGGGCAACCCAACAGTGACAAAGATCGAGGTCAGCTGCAGACCGAAAGGTCCAAGTTCGAAGCTTGCTCCAGAGATGACAGAGACTGCCGCGGAAAGGGCATAGCCTAATATGTGGGTTGTGCCAGGGAGTAGAGCACTTTGAATGACGCCCGATCGCTGTAACCAAAAAGAAATTGCTATAAACTCGCAGGCACCTGCAAAAGGCAGTAGAGCAAGCCCAACTACCAGTGCGGAGAATCCACCAACATCGATTGTCTCCTGAAGGGGGCACAGGGGCCAGGGGCCAAGAATGCCAAGCCAACGCCCTGCCTCGTCCGCTTCACTCTCACCTCCACGGGCAGCGAGAGCCACAGCGCTCCTCGCACACAACAACACTTGCCAACATCATGTGAGGACTCCGCGAACATTTTCGGAATGCTCGGGCGACAAGGAAGTGTCCTGGCTCGCTCAGCCGAAGCGCCTACAGCTGCATGTCGCGATAGGCCACGTGCCGCTGTCACATTCAGGAAGGCATGCCTGCTAAGGTTCAAGACAGACTCGCAGCAAACACTGTTGCAACGGTGATCTGAAAAGCAAGCATGTGACGAAACGAGAACACAGTATTCTGTTAGTCAAAGTCCAAACCCAGGAATGGCTGCACTCGCGTAGCGTGTATGGCACGCAAACGGATCAGGGTGTGAGACTCAAGAATAGATGTCGTAGCCGCTCTCCAGGCTCAAGGTAAGTCGTGCCTCTGCGTCCATGCGAAGGCAAGTAGGAGCAGCAGAGGAAAAAGCACTTTCCTCAGACGCAGAGGGCCGGCAAAAGCTATCTTGCGAAGTACTTTGTCAGGCAAAGCTAAGTCACCTCTGGGCCATATTTGGGTCGGCGCGATGCTTGAAAAATAACAGCTGCATGCCATGCATAGTTGAGAAAGACTTCTGCCCGAGCTACACCACACATCCGGCACGGATGCAGCGCGCCATAAATCATGCTGGCATGATGCAGCATGTCGGAACACTGCTTCAGCCCGGGAATCCTCTTCGGTGATCGAGGAAGGCATATCCACAGCGCCTCTCACTACTCTAAACGTGTTTGCAAAGCTGCTGAAGGGAGGTCGAAATGCAACCCCTGGACAGGAGGGTTTCTTGCCAGTGCCTGCACAGCGTGGCCTTGGGGTCGTTGACGTAGCTTGCAGAATCCTGCACCAGATCTGTAATACTGAGGCATGACGGTCGGTACATGCTAGCACACGAGGAGTCTTGAGTCTTCCGGCTCCTCTGGGGCCAGGTATCCAGAGCACTTGCTGGCCTAAGCGCATCACGGAATCAGCCTCTTCGGTTTCGTGGGGGGGCTACCGGTATCTGAGAGTGCAACGAGACAGCCGGCACGGACTTGTCCCAAAGGGTCCAAGTTGCTCTCGGATGTGCGGCTAGACCAACCTGGCCTGGCATGCAAAAGGGTGGACACAAGTGCAGTCACCCACACAGAAGCAGTGGTACATTGTCTCCTGTCTCGTGCCACATCCCAAGCCAGGTGTGAATCGTCAGCTACGCAAGTTGCTTGCAGCGGGGACAAGGTTTGTGATACTGTTGATCGGGTAGACGGTTCTACGCGCAGCAAGTGCTACTACTCGATTCCGAACGACTCAGGACTGCATGCAGTCGAGGAGTGTGTCAGTGGGTCATTCCTTCCATAGGTTCCAGTCTACATAGTCGCAGCGGCACCAGGATGCAAAAGGCAAAACGGAACGGAGGCAGCTCTGTTTTGCTACTGGCCCGCCGGCGAATCAAGGGTGTTGGCCAAGCTGCCGAGGATGATAGCCAGGCCAGCCAGCAAAACAACTGAGGATACCCTACAGCGATCATGATGCCACGGCTCTTCTGGCGCAGGCTTTCTAGCTTTGGAAAGCGCATAGAGAAAGAAGCAAGTGAGGCCACCAGCTGCAGAGAGCACCACAAGCCACGACCGCAGCTTGCTGGATGTTGCCGGCTCCAGTAATATCCATGATAGCAAGCAGAGAACCGCTTTGGAGACATTGGACGCAAAGGCGGTCTGCGTAGACGACAACTCCTGCACCGTATAAAACTGGAGCATGTTGTATCCGTAAGCAGCGAAACCGCTTAGAGCAACTGCAGCTGCGAGCCTTGCATGGTCGGACACCATTCCAAGCAACTCAGAGTCGGTTCGACTGGTCCCCAGCCTCTCGGGCCAGTTCCCAGCTGCATGTGGGAAAAGGAAGATCCAAGGAGTAAGCAAGGCAGCTGCCGGCAGAGACATGTATCCCGTAGAGTCGATAGCATTGAGAGGAATCGAGGATCCCTTGAACAGCTCGACGATGATGAACATGAAGGCCCCACCGACAGTACTGAGAAAACCAGCTGCTACTCCTAGAGTGAAGGTGCTCTGCGTAGAAGGTGCTGCTGGCTGCGAAGCCAGCACATTTATCAGCACGAAAAGCGTCCCCAAGACTACGAAGATCCACTGTTCCGAAGATGGTGCACCGCGTGTCCAAATTGTAGCTGCGACAGCTGTTGTCAAGGGGCTGGTGGAGCGGATCATGTTGTTGACGGACAGGCTGACCATGGACAAAGACAAATTGTTCAGCCCAATGCTGGTGGCAAACGACAACGCCAGCAAGGCCACCTGCTTCGCGATTCTAGGATTCAACGAAGGAGGCCGATAACCCCATCTCCCATTCGAGCACCAATGCACCTGAGAAGAGGCTGCAAAGCAGCCGAAGCTGATTGCAAGTTGCGTGGTCGTCCAGAAGAGCGGTGCCGGGAGACCATGCACTTGAAGTTGGCCCACAGATACCCACATGTAACTGAAAAGGAACTTCATCAAGTAGGTTAGGCCGACAGATCCCAGGGTGTACAGTGCGACCAGGACAGCTGTTCGCTTACATCTTTGCTCGCTGCTTGAGTGCTCTGGCGCCTCTGGCGCCTGTATCTCGAAAGGCTGAAGAACCTGGCTCCCATCACGGCACAGATCCTTGGGAGTCATGACCTCGACCGTAGCAGCGCATGTGGTACATGGTCCAGCTTCAACAGACCGAATACGGGAAGGGGCATACTGGGCACTGTTGCCCGGCTTTGGTGTGATGAGCAGTGATGAACACGATTAACACGATTGCTAAAACTAGTGGCCTTCTGAAAGGCCTCAATGGTCGCACCTGGACACCTTTCTCAAGCTCTATTGACTCCTTCGACGTGCTGCGATCTTGAGGTCGGACGATCGATCAGAGTGCGAGCGAGAAGAGTAGAGCCACACGCGAGTGGCCTGTTTCGGTTTCCTGGCATCCACTTTGGTCCATGCATATGCTCACACAACTGTCGCGATTGAGATACGAGCTTGTGACGCAACAGATTTTGCGACGTTGCAGGGAGCTGCCCTTCGTCATGCTCGGTGTTCTTTCATTGTTTCAGGTGGTGGCTTCTCTAGATTAGCAGCCGGTGCCAACTCAAGCACGACACTGAAAGGACGATGATCGGTCGTTAGCCGACGAAGTCTAGCAACGAACGAAAAACATTCGCTGAAAGAGCGTGGGGCTCGAAGTGGTGTTCAAACGATGAAGCAGAGCTCTTACGTGTAAATGTTGATCATCTGCGTGAATGCTTGTACTGATCGAAGAGATGGATGCCACGAGCCGATCGTTCTCCCCTGCTACATGTCATCTTCTCCGCCCGGGGTTGCTCCAGACCACTGCTGTCTGCTTGCAACACACCAAGGCGAGCGAGGCCCTAGAGCCCTACTCAACTTTGCGTGGAGGCTCGAAGAAAGCCATGAGTTCCCGTCCGGGGCCTCCTTGAAGCAGGCAGGCTTGAAGCCTGCGAGGCAGCGACCGAAAGGACACTTAGCGGCCCGGCGCTGCACGAGGAGCTCAAAGAGGCCTCGCCTCGAGCCAAGGCCCATTGAGCCTCAAGGGCGTCACCTTCGGCTCGTCGCTCGCCACCTCGGAAAACAAAACCGAACTTACAAAATGCCATCCTCGCAGACCAGAGACAGGCTTTTGCCGAATCAAGAGCTGGACAAAAACCAGACAAGAGGCCGTTAAACCGATGCTAGTGCCATCGCGCACCCCAAAGGAGCATGCACTGGGAAGACTCAGCTCCAAAGGCATCTTCCCTTCAGCGGTGGAACAACACAAAAAAATGGATGGGGGGGGTGTCTGGAAATCAAGTAACGGCCCGTATGAAAAGGATCCTGCTGATTTTATTGATTTTACTCTCTACTAGGTTTGATTGTTTTCAACCCCCAAATGCTCTGCTCTTGCTTCTGTAAGCCACAGCTTGTCCATTTCCATCTTTCAAGCATGGTTTCTAACACCTTCAATCACCACCAAAGTCTATACCATGCGGCTGCGGGTTTCCTACTTTTGTCGGGCTCTGGGCTTTGGGCATCACCGCTCTTGACTCCTCTTGGTTTCAGGCCTTGTTCTTTGTGTTACTTTCCTCACTGTCCGCCTTACTTTCGTCATCTGTCTAGCTGCTGTGTTTCCGTTTCGTCTGTTTGTATTCGCTCCAGGCCGAGAGCCCGAAGCGGCTCAAAGCCTAGCCTAAATCGGCTAGAAGGTTGTGGCTGCAAGCCAGCAGGCGAACCGGCAGCTCCCCAGCTCTGAGGCTACAACGCAAGCCAAAACTCGCATTGAAAACTTTCCGTCCGCCGGCAGCCTGAGGCATCAGAAGGAGAGCGCATTCGGCCACCGCGAAGCTGCGAGCTCACAAGATGAGGCAGCGACCCCGTCAGATGAAGTTGGCTTGACTTGCTGACTGCGTGACCACCTTGCTGCGCCACGGATCAGCGGCCGTTTCGTCAGAGGGGCTCCATCATGCTTCATCTATGAAATGTGGAGGTCATGGCACGTTATGGGGCGGTCGGCAAACGACTGAGTTGATTTGGATATTGAAAAGGTAGTAACTAGTCAAGGGTCCCCTTCACAAGTGCAGTCAGCACTGTCGTCAGGTCCAGTTTAACCGACAGCACTACCAAGGCTGTTCCTGTTCGAAGTGATCCGCTTGCATTGCATTGACCCGCGCCGTGTGTTAGAATTTGCAAGTTCCCTTTGCAGACTCTTCAAGGTTCACCTCCTGAGCAATGTGAACGGCACGCCTGCACCGCCTCCACTAGGACGCCACTCGACAGCGTATGTGACCTCACTCCAGGCCACCAAGACTCTCCAATACTACAATACAAGCTTCATCAAGCTTCTGAGAACCGCGCCTTCTGCTCAATGATAAGGCCAGACCACTCCAAAGTTATGGCCTGCATGGGCCGGAAACTCTTCGGTACAGGGACGACACTCACAGAAGAGACTCCCGAAGATCACAGTGACGGTACCATTGCACTCTCTGGTTGCCACGCCTCGACAAAGGCCCGCTTAACCTCCACTTTTGACCACTCTGCCTGGCCGGCTTTTCATGAGACTCGGAGTCTTTCCAGGAGTCTTTGCAGCTGTCTTAATCTACATACGAAGCCCTTCCCGGAAAGCGCGAGACATTCCACGGCCCATGCCATCCCTGACCCGCTAAGAATTGATTCAAACATTCACATTAGGCAGTGCCCTACCCTACCCAAAACACCCAACACTCCCTTTGCTCCTGTTCACGGTGGAACATAACCATAGTTGAAGGGCTTCCGCGTTGCATTGGCATGTGGAGGAGAAGTAACCCAGAGCAAAGGCATTGCATGAGATTGCTTCATGATACTCGCCACCGGTTACGCAGTGTGACATGCGGCAACCAGAGTAGCATGGTGCTTGGCACGCTTCTATCAGAAGAGTACAGGCAGTGCAAGACGCTTTGGAAATTACGAGTGTCTTTAGGTCGCGCGTTAGATGGCATGGGCTAGCTTAGGGCGGGCCACCGTCTGGCCTACCTCATACAGATCTGCGGGTGTGCAGAGTTTCGAGGCTGTGATAAACATGCGGTGGAACATCCGTAAAGCCTTCCTGGCAACACAACACCACCTAATGTGCAGACCGAAGGGAAGAGTTTACTCGTAAGCGCTCACGAATTTGATCCTAAATCCGAAATGTTTGGTGCGAGTAGTTTCCGGGCAGAGCGCTTCAGGGACTGCCATTATGCCATAATGTCAGTCACAGCTCAAACAAGCTTATGTGAAAACCTGAATGCAAGAGTCTACTCGCAAGGTTTCAGGCACTGGCTCGTGAAGGAGAAAGCTTTTGCCAGAGCAGGTTGCAATGGGGCAAAACTTTGGGAGCATGATATAGCATGATGTATGGCATGTATTGTCTCATGTGTTGTCCTCCTTCATGCCTTAGGCTGTCGATGTCAAAGCAAAGAAATGAACACATCTGCGGCTGTGCCCGGTCGGGTGACGTTGAGCGCTTCTCGAGTTTCCGGGGCCGTGCATAGCTTAGTAGCGATGTGCATGTACGATACGCAGGTACGCAATTGAAGACGTTCGTATCTCAGTAAACCAAACAGTAGGGTTAGTTTACCGAACATCAGGCCGTAAACATATCACAGTACGAGCATGTGCCAAGGAAAGTGCTGATATCCTCCAACGATGTCAAGGAAGCTAGAATGGACTAGCATAAAGGTGTCGATACGACCTTAGATTGGCAGATATCAAAGTGGCCACTCCAGGAGAAAAGCCCTTGCCCCTTGCTACTTCCTGTGGGCCTCCAGATACAACGTGGAATCAGCTCCCGACGACTCGATTTGAACCCATCCTGCCATACGGAGCGTGTGTAACGGGCATGAAACCGGAACTGGTCCCACCGCACCTTCACCCTTGCTGTCATTTCGGGCGAGCCTGTTGCCACAATCATCTTGAGTCTTGAGTCATACATCTGCATGCAAAAGCTCGGCTGCGCCTGAGCCAGCTGCCGGAGGGGTAGCCCTTTATGCGATCGCCTGGCAGACTAGCACGCATGTCTGCGCAATATGCTGGGGAGCTGCTCGCCAGCTGTGAAACCGTGACACGAAGCAGCAGAACTCGAGGTGGCGTGCCCTTGTGAAGCGCTGATGTCCTGTCAAGTCAGATCTGCGCCGAAGGCGGATGACCCTTCCGAGAGCTGGCCGACTTGGCCCCTGACGTTGTTGCATGAGCATCCGGGGTTGCTCGCACGGAGGCTTTGTCCGAAATCACCTGCCGAAGCAGCAAGCGATGTCACACAAGCATAGACGTCTTCGGGCCTGAAAGTGAAGCGGCTCCGAGTTAAGGACCTCGACAGATGCAAGTCACGGGCAACGCATGGCACTGGCAATCTCAGCAGGCGACCTGGCAAGCACGCTCTGCCCTGCGCCTACGAAGGGCGAAGGCATCGCCCACTAGGACTGGAGAGGGGCCTGGCCTTAAGGACTCGATGCTTCGAGCATTCCCGACATCGGAATCCTCCGGCCTGCCCAAACAGCAAAGCTGTCGAGCCCTGCTCTCTTGCTTCTCTCCTCTCTCCTGGCACCTCTGGCTGGCCGTGTTGGCAGTGTCTGCATCGACGCGTTGCAACAGGGCCTAGGCTGGTGAGCCCGGCAGAAAACTAAGGCAGAGCAGTGCATGTGCCAAGGGTTGGGCGCCCAAGTCAGGACGATTGGCGAAACGGCCCTCAATCGCCACAAATGCCTTTACAAAGAAATTCTTGAGTGGCTCAGCCTTCCACCGAACTCTTTAGATTTCCCACCTTCTTGTCACTGTAGATCTTCAGTCGTCTGCTGCAATCTGCGGAAAGGCAAAGCCAGCCCGACTGTACCTGTTCAGCTTGACATCTTCTCTCAGCAGAGGCTCGATGCAGCTTGAGAGATAGTCTGCAAGCCAGCCTGCCCCGACAGAACAGTGCCCTTATGCACAAATCCCACCTGGCGCTTCGATCAAAGAAAGGCCCAAGGGGATCTGGACAAGATGAAAGGAAGGATGTCCTCGACCGATCTGCTGCAGACGATCATACTGGACAGCAGAAATTGCTTTTGGCTTTGCTAACCGTTGCCTGTACATCAAATCGCCACTCTGGGGGCAGAGTGGCTCAAGAACTTCGCCAAAGACGTGCCTACAGATTGTACAGCGCTGTACAATGGCGCGCTGGGCCTTCACCCGGCACTAGCGTCAGTGCCTCCCGCTACGCTTGGGGCCTGAACTCGCAGCATCACTGACTGTGTTGTCAGACGCTGTAGGGGCTTTGTGCCATTTGTTATGCTGAGGGCTGCACGGCATAATTCAATAAACTTATCCTTACGATGTCGCGTTGAAAATGGGTGCTTCAGTGCTTCAGGAACTCCACGACTGCTGGATCAGCCAAGCAGCAGCGAATAGCACGCAGTGTCTTCTTCAGAGCCTCAGTTGTACAGCTCGGGCTTGCACCAGGGCTCAAGAAGCCTGAGCACCGGAACGTGCAGAGCCTCTGGGGCTCCGGCGCCCTTGAATGTCTGTCGGCCGCAAATGTGGGGCTCCGTACTTGGTGACGACCTCCTGACAGATTCAAAAGCTCAACGTGTCGGGTCTGCAATCTGATCTCAGACCTCCACCGCGCGTCCCAGCTTGTCGGCGTCGCCGAGCTGCGAAAAGACTTGCCTGTCAAGTTGTTCCTGTGACTACGTCTTTCTTAAAACATCTTACCGGCTCTGCCGGTGGCTCCACGGCAGAGGCAAGTTGGAGGGAAGTCCGAACCAGGACTGGGAAGGCTTCTGAAATTCTTACAGTCCAACACAAAATCCGGTTGTTGTGGCGAGATGCTAACATTTTCTTCTACGCCTCCAAGCTGCTGGGACTGCACACAATACTTAACGACAACATGTCTTACTTGGCTCAGTCACTTCCTCAAAGGATGATTGCACTCATAGTTGGCTTCCTCTAGTTACGAACAGCTGGCTGTGTCCTGGCTGACACATGCATGTGTCACTGGCTTTCCTAGGATGCAAACAGATTGCAGCAACTGTGCGCATACGCAAGCAAGACGATGGCCCCTGCGCGTGGAAAACTACAGACTACAGGCACTTCACTGACAGGCCGAGTTTGGAACCATCACAAGGTACACCAGGCTGATCAGGCCCTTCTTCCCTGTCTGATGCGTAGCTTCCAGTGGAGTGTGGCACTTAAGGAAGTTGTGGATGTAAGTGGGAAGCAAGACCTGGTCAGTCTTGTGTACCTGCACAACAATGGTCGGCATGGGCACTTGATAGTGCAGCTTGTGGCCA